GGGGTGCAGGGATTAACCCTTTATATGCCGGTATTATATTATTGGGGGTGCGGGGATTAACCCTTTATATGCCGGTATTATATTATTGGGGTGCAGGGATTAACCCTTTATATGCCGGTATTATATCATTGGGGGTGCAGGGATTAACCCTTTATATGCCGGTATTATATTATTGGGGGTGCGGGGATTAACCCTTTATATGCCGGTATTATATCATTGGGGGTGCAGGGATTAACCCTTTATATGCCGGTATTATATTATTGGGGGTGCGGGGATTAACCCTTTATATGCCGGTATTATATTATTGGGGTGCAGGGATTAACCCTTTATATGCCGGTATTATATTATTGGGGTGCGGGGATTAACCCTTTACATGCCGGTATTATATTATTGGGGTGCGGGGATTAACCCTTTACATGCCGGTATTATATTATTGGGGTGCGGGGATTAACCCTTTATATGCCGGTATTATATCATTGGGGTGCGGGGATTAACCCTTTACATGCCGGTATATTATTATTGGGGGTGCAGGGATTAACCCTTTATATGCCGGTATTATATTATTGGGGGTGCAGGGATTAACCCTTTACATGCCGGTATTATATTATTGGGGGTGCAAGGATTAACCCTTTATATGCCGGTATTATATTATTGGGGTGCGGGGATTAACCCTTTATATGCCGGTATTATATTATTGGGGTGCAGGGATTAACCCTTTACATGCCGGTATTATATTATTGGGGTGCGGGGATTAACCCTTTACATGCCGGTATTATATTATTGGGGTGCGGGGATTAACCCTTTATATGCGGTATTATTATATCATTGGGGGTGCAGGGGATTGTGTGCCCCTTCATGCAGTGTTATATGTATTATTCAGGGTCATGAGGATTAAACGCTTTATATGCGGTGTATATTGGTAGGTCAGCGGTTAACCCTTTATATGCGGTATTATATTATTAAGGTCTTGAGTTCAACCCTTTATATGCGATTATTATATCATTGGGGTGCGGGGTTAACCCTTTATATGCGGTGGCTATATTGTTGGGGTGTGAGGTTAACCCTTTATATGCGTATTATATTATTGGGGTGCAGGGATTAACCCTTTACATGCCGGTATTATATTATTGGGGGTGCAGGGATTAACCCTTTACATGCCGGTATTATATTATTGGGGTGCGGGGATTAACCCTTTACATGCCGGTATTATATTATTGGGGTGCGGGGATTAACCCTTTATATGCCGGTATTATATCATTGGGGTGCGGGGATTAACCCTTTACATGCCGGTATATTATTATTGGGGGTGCAGGGATTAACCCTTTATATGCCGGTATTATATTATTGGGGGTGCAGGGATTAACCCTTTACATGCCGGTATTATATTATTGGGGGTGCAAGGATTAACCCTTTATATGCCGGTATTATATTATTGGGGTGCGGGGATTAACCCTTTATATGCCGGTATTATATTATTGGGGTGCGGGGATTAACCCTTTATATGCCGGTATTATATTATTGGGGTGCGGGGATTAACCCTTTATATGCCGGTATTATATTATTGGGGTGCGGGGATTAACCCTTTACATGCCGGTATTATATTATTGGGGTGCGGGGATTAACCCTTTACATGCCGGTATTATATTATTGGGGGGTTGCAGGGATTAACCCTTTATATGCCGGTATTATATTATTGGGGTGCAGGGATTAACCCTTTATATGCCGGTATTATATTATTGGGGTGCGGGGATTAACCCTTTATATGGCGGTATTATATTATTGGGGGTGCAGGGATTAACCCTTTATATGCCGGTATTATATTATTGGGGTGCGGGGATTAACCCTTTATATGCCGGTATTATATTATTGGGGGTGCAGGGATTAACCCTTTATATGCCGGTATTATATTATTGGGGTGCAGGGATTAACCCTTTATATGCCGGTATTATATTATTGGGGTGCAGGGATTAACCCTTTACATGCCGGTATTATATTATTGGGGGTGCAGGGATTAACCCTTTATATGCCGGTATTATATTATTGGGGGGTGCGGGGATTAACCCTTTACATGCCGGTATGATACTCACAGGGGGCCCGAGGTTGCTGCCTGTCTCCCAGGGCCCCTTGCCGGCCCCCGCAGCCTCCATCCTACATTCCTACCGGCTCCCGTCTCCATGACTCAGTCTGTACCAGCCGCCATCTTGCTCCGCCTCTCTCTCTCTGGCCGCCATCTTGCTCCGCCTCTCTCTGGCCGCCATCTTGCTCCGCCTCTCTCTGGCCGCCATCTTGCTCCGCCTCTCTCTGGCCGCCATCTTGCTCCGATAGGTCTACTTTGCAGAATTCCCCTATGTCGTCACTTCCGGTCAGGGGAGTCAGCTAGATCCTGGGCGTCACCTCCTGCTACTCCTCCACAGCGGCAGGTCCTGGAAGGTAAATAACACAGCCATTAACACAGCCAGGTCCTGGAAGGTAAATAACAGCCATTAACACAGCGGCAGGTCCTGGAAGGTAAATAACACAGCCATTAACACAGCGGCAGGTCCTGGAAGGTAAATAACACAGCCATTAACACAGCGGCAGGTCCTGGAAGGTAAATAACACAGCCATTAGCACAGCGGCAGGTCCTGGAAGGTAAATAACACAGCCATTAACACAGCCAGGTCCTGGAAGGTAAATAACACAGCCATTAACACAGCCAGGTCCTGGAAGGTAAATAACACAGCCATTAACACAGCCAGGTCCTGGAAGGTAAATAACACAGCCATTAACACAGCCAGGTCCTGGAAGGTCAGTAACACAGCCAGGTCCTGGAAGGTCAGTAACACAGCCATTAACACAGCCAAGTCCTGGAAGGTCAGTAACACAGCCATTAACACAGCCAGGTCCTGGAAGGTCAGTAACACAGCCAGTAACACAGCCAGGTCCTGGAAGGTAAATAACACAGCCATTAACACAGCCAGGTCCTGGAAGGTCAATAACACAGCCATTAACACAGCCAGGTCCTGGAAGGTCAGTAACACAGCCAGTAACACAGCCAGGTCCTGGAAGGTCAGTAACACAGCCATTAACACAGCCAGGTCCTGGAAGGTAAATAACACAGCCATTAACACAGCCAGGTCCTGAAGGTAAATAACACAATATTGAACACAGCCAGGTCCTGAAGGTAAATAACACAGCCATTAACACAGCCAGGTCCCGGAAGGTAACAACAGCCAGTAACACAGCGGCAGGTCCTGAAGGTAAGTAACACAGCCATTAACACAGCCAGGTCCTGAAGGTAAAATAACACAGCCATTAACACAGCCAGGTCCTGGAAGGTAAATAACACAAGCTTCATTAACACAGCCGGGCAGGTCCTGAAGGTAACAACAGCCACAACACACGGCAGGTCCTGGAAGGCAAATAACACAGCCACAACACAGCCGCAGGTCCTGGCTGTAAATAACAGCTATTAACACCACAGCCAGGTCCTGAAGGTAAATAACACAGCCAGTAACACAGCCGCAGGTCCTGGAAGGTAAATAACACAGCCATTAACACAGCGGCAGGTCCTGGAAGGTAAATAACACAGCCATTAACACAGCGGCAGGTCCTGGAAGGTAAATAACAGCCATTAACACAGCGGCAGGTCCTGGAAGGTAAATAACACAGCCATTAACACAGCGGCAGGTCCTGGAAGGTAAATAACAGCCATTAACACAGCCAGGTCCTGGAAGGTAAATAACACAGCCAGTAACACAGCGGCAGGTCCTGGAAGGTAAGTAACACAGCCAGTAACACAGCGGCAGGTCCTGGAAGGTAAGTAACACAGCCATTAACACAGCCAGGTCCTGGAAGGTAAATAACAACCATTAACACAGCGGCAGGTCCTGGAAGGTAAATAACACAGCCATTAACACAGCGGCAGGTCCTGGAAGGTAAATAACACAGCCATTAACACAGCGGCAGGTCCTGGAAGGTAAGTAACACAGCCATTAACACAGCGGCAGGTCCTGGAAGGTAAATAACACAGCCAGTAACACAGCGGCAGGTCCTGGAAGGTAAATAACAACCACAACACAGCTGCAGGTCCTGAAGGTAACACAGCCATTAACACAGCCAGGTCCTGGAAGGTAAATAACACAGCCATTAACACAGCCAGGTCCTGGAAGGTCAGTAACACAGCCATTAACACAGCCAGGTCCTGGAAGGTCAGTAACACAGCCATTAACACAGCCAGGTCCTGGAAGGTAAATAACACAGCCATTAACACAGCCAGGTCCTGGAAGGTAAATAACACAGCCATTAACACAGCCAGGTCCTGGAAGGTAAATAACACAGCCATTAACACAGCCAGGTCCTGGAAGGTAAATAACACAGCCATTAACACAGCCAGGTCCTGGAAGGTAAATAACACAGCCATTAACACAGCGGCAGGTCCTGGAAGGTAAATAACACAGCCATTAACACGGCCAGGTCCTGGAAGGTAAATAACACAGCCATTAACACAGCCAGGTCCTGGAAGGTAAATAACACAGCCATTAACACAGCCAGGTCCTGGAAGGTAAATAACACAGCCATTAACACAGCGGCAGGTCCTGGAAGGTAAATAACACAACCATTAACACAGCTGCAGGTCCTGGAAGGTAACTAACACAGCCATTAACACAGCGGCAGGTCCTGGAAGGTAAATAACACAGCCATTAACACAGCGGCAGGTCCTGGAAGGTAAATAACAGCCATTAACACAGCGGCAGGTCCTGGAAGGTAAATAACACAGCCATTAACACAGCGGCAGGTCCTGGAAGGTAAATAACACAGCCATTAACACAGCGGCAGGTCCTGGAAGGTAAGTAACACAGCCATTAACACAGCGGCAGGTCCTGGAAGGTAAATAACACAGCCAGTAACACAGCGGCAGGTCCTGGAAGGTAAATAGCAGCCATTAACACAGCAGGTCTGGAAGGTAAATACTTACAGCCATTAACACTGGCGGCAGGTCCTGGAAGGTAAATAACACGGCCATTAACTTTGGCGGCAGGTCGCAAAAGGAGGTAGCTAACACAGCCATTAACACAGCTGGCGGGTCTGGAAGGTAAATAACACAGCCATTAACACAGCGGCAGGTCCTAGAAGGTAAAATAATACAGCCGTTAACACGGCGAGTCCTGGGGTCCAATGCCCAGCCGGTAACACAGCGAAGGTCCTGGAAGGTAAAATAACACAGCCAGGTCCTGGAAGGTCAGTAACACAGCCATTAACACAGCGGCAGGTCCTGGAAGGTCAGTAACACAGCCAGGTCCTGGAAGGTAAATAAAACAGCCATTAACACAGCCAGGTCCTGGAAGGTAACTAATACAGCCATTAACACAGCCAGGTCCTGGAAGGTAACTAATACAGCCATTAACACGGCCAGGTCCTGGAAGGTCAGTAACACAGCCAGTAACACAGCCAGGTCCTGGAAGGTAACTAATACAGCCATTAACACAGCCAGGTCCTGGAAGGTAACTAATACAGCCATTAACACGGCCAGGTCCTGGAAGGTCAGTAACACAGCCAGGAACACAGCCAGGTCCTGGAAGGTAAATAACACAGCCAGGTTCTGGAAGGTAAATAACACAGCCATTAACACAGCCAGGTCCTGGAAGGTAACTAATACAGCCATTAACACGGCCAGGTCCTGGAAGGTCATTAACACAGCCATTAACACGGCCAGGTCCTGGAAGGTCAGTAACACAGCCATTAACACAGCCAGGTCCTGGAAGGTCAGTAACACAGCCATTAACACAGCCAGGTCCTGGAAGGTAAGTAACACAGCCATTAACACGTGGCGGGTGCAGGTAATAGCATGCATTAACACAGCGGCAGGTCCTGGAAGGTAGTAACGCTGGCGTAGCACACAGGCGGTCCTGGAAGGTGAAGCCGCGCAGCGTTAAGCACGGCGGAACCTGGAAGGTAAATACTTACAGCCATTAGCTTACCAGCGACGCGGTCCTTGAGTGGTAACACAGCCATTAAATGCAAGCGGCGATTACGGAAGGTCCAGCCATACAGTCGATAACACAGCGGCAGGTCCTGGAAGGTAAGTAACACAGCCATTAACACAGCCAGGTCCTGGAAGGTAAATAACAACCATTAACACAGCGGCAGGTCCTGGAAGGTAAATAACACAGCCATTAACACAGCGGCAGGTCCTGGAAGGTAAATAACACAGCCATTAACACAGCGGCAGGTCCTGGAAGGTCAATAACACAGCAATTAACACAGTGGCAGGTCCTGGAAGGTCAATAACACAGCAATTAACACAGCGGCAGGTCCTGGAAGGTAAATAACACAGCCATTAACACAGCGGCAGGTCCTGGAAGGTAAGTAACACAGCCATTAACACAGCGGCAGGTCCTGGAAGGTAAATAACACA